GGGGGGGGGCGGCGGGAGCACCCTCGGGACTGACCCGCAGGCCGCTCGGCGCACGGAAGCCCTTTGCCGAGCCGGCTGGGCGGCCGCTCTGCTGGCGCCCCGAAAGGCTCGCTGACGCGGAGTGCGCAGGCCTCTGGGTCGTAGGACCGCGCCAGGCCTGAGGACCGCCGCGTTAGCTCGGGCGTTGGGCCTCCCAGGGTTCTAGGGGCGGGCCTCGGTGGGGAGGTTCCTTAGTGTTTTGTTTGTTTCCAGAAACAAGTGGGCAGCTCTGCTGCTTTGCCCTCTTGTGGTCTGCCACTTCGGCTGAGAGGACCAACGCTGTCCAGCTCCTTCATCGCGTTAATTCCACACATGACCTGATCCTCTTACGTGCCTCTAAGCAGGATAGTAGAAGCCACCAATCCTTAGAATCATGAGAAAGGTGCAATTTACCATCCTTTGGCCTCCAAGAGCTATAATGCGCGTTTACTTAAAAATACTGAGTAGGGGCCAGTAGGTGGTGTGGAGGTTAAGGAGCTAGATCCCATATGGGTCCACTAGACCATTGGAGTCCCAGGCCTGGTGGCTTGAACATCATACAGGGCACGTGTGCCTACGTGCACAAAATCCCCAGTGGAGAATGGAGAAGAGATTGCCCCATGGCCATGGGGCGTGGGCACTTTTTCTACTTTCTCCCCTTATCGTTTTCTGGCTGCTGCACATGCCTATAGCTTAAAAAAATAGTAGCTCCTATACAGAAGACTGGTATTATGATAAAGAGGAAAAATATCCAACCTACAGAGGAGACAAAAGGGCATTTCTTGTGGAACTGGTTATGGTGGAAAGAGAAGTCCCTTTTATCTTTACTGTTGCTGCTATGACTAATACTGAACATTTATCCGAATAGGAGATAATCTCCCTTACCTGGGAGTCTAGAAGAGCCACTGGAGGCAGGCACTTTCTTCTACTGGGCATGAGAGCACCAACCAAATTAGCAACCCATTCTACTATATCCCTGGCGGCTGCTTTTGTCAGGATAGGTATTTTTTAGTGGACATTTGTTAAGATGCCACACCTAAGAAGATGCTCCCTCTTCCCTGAGCTTGCTTTTTTGGTTTAATTTCCAAGTTTATTTCATGAGAGAAAGAGAAGCATCATCAACAGAGTCTGTAAAATCCCTAGGCCCTTTTCTGCCAATGATTAATAGGTGAAGCAGAGGCAGAAACAGTTTAGCTGTGTTCCAGCACAGGGAGTGGCTAAGAGCTAACAAGCACAGAAATTTCCAGCACCTTATATACTATTACACTTTTCGTTTATCCCTTGTTTGTAACATAAATCTAGCTAGTTCAGTGTTATGCCTACCCTCATGATTTCCCCAGAATTGTTCAGTGTAACTTTTCTTTTTACATGACATTTATGATCCTCTTTTTGTTATTTTTGTTACTATGGTGACATTGAGTCTGTTAACTTAGTCTTGTGATGTACATGATAAATTAAGGAAAACTACGACATATTTTAAAGGTTTTTTTTTTTTTTGCCATGAAGTACATGTGCTTACCAGAGAGACAGAAAGAGTGAAAGCAAGAAATTACTCCCTAGGTGGATGGCCACACCACAGTCCCTTCTCAATTCTCTCAGGAATTTTGAGCACACAAGCATATGCACCCAATGTGATTTTCAAGCCATTGCGTCTGGGGCTCGAAATGCAGTCAGCCTTATCAGAATCCAGCACTTTAACTATCAGACCACTTGCTGGCCCATGACACCTTTTCTTTATACTGTTTAACAAAACAAGCTCAACATCTGTGAATAACTATTATGTTAAATGATAACACGATTACAGTTTTCCCAATTTAACCTGTTATATTGTGTCAGTTGGGCAAACATTCTCATCTCTTAAGATTTTTTTAATTTTTAAAAGATTAATTTGTTATTCTTCAGTTTGACCAGCAAGAGAGAGAAAACAGGCCACCAGGTCTAGGATTTGAACCATAGTAGGCCATGTAGGATTGCCAGCGTCTTAACCAGCACTCTTCCTGCCGGCTCCTATCTCTTAAGATTTCTCGGAACTGGGCCAGGTTGCATTGTGACCTTTGTCTAAAGCAAGTGACTTGAGTTTTCCCTTTTAACCAAATAGGCTTATTTATGACCTAATTTATTATAGTAGTTACAAATTATATTAGTTACAGATGCTACAAGCACCAGTTAACCTATTTAAAATATAAAAGAAAACAAAAGGATTAAAATGTTTATTTCCATGTTATAATACCATAATTCTCCCCTGAACCTTTCCTAGACAGCCAGGATAATTGGTGTGCCTTCATGTATGGTATAGATAGGTTGACCAAGAAAACCTACCCCTAGCTTCCGTATGGCTTTCGGCATTACAGAGACTTGGGCTACCACAGTGTCACTATGGTGGGACCTGCCTTGAGCTTATTTATGTTAAATATGAACTAAAGCAAAATAGAGGTCTTTTAGTTACAAAGCAGGTTTAAAACACTTATTCCTGTTTTCACAGACAGTGGTGGGAATTCATATCCTTTCCTGTGATAGTGGCTGTAAAAGGCACAGCGGAAAATAATTTCAAAATAGTGAAGCTGTTAGGGAGGAGAGAGAGTATTATATTGTATGTACATACCATTTCCTTTTACCATTTGGTCCTAGCCTCATCTTGTAACACTCTCACTCCAGTGGCTCTCAATCCTAGCAGCATGTAGAACTACATGTAGAACTTAAACAACAAACAAAACCCAGTATGCAGGGTTCCTGCCTTGAGTGTATTGCATATTGAATCAGTCGCTAGGAGTCAAGCCTGGGCATGGATTGCTTTGCTGTTTTGTTTAGTTTTAATCTCTACATATGATTCAGATGCATAATTAGGTTTGAGAAAATAATTGCCTTATACTCAAGCCATCTAATAAAGATGGTTCTTTGAGTAGGCTACACAAGTTCATCCTTTACATTTGCTATACCGTCTACTTGGAACTTATCTCTCTCTCTTTTTAATTTACTATAGGGCACATGTGCTTACAGAGAGAGAGGGAAAAAGTGAGAAAGCAAGCCACCAGGTTTAGGACTCAAACCGCAGTTGGCCATGTAGAAGCCCAGCATCTTGACTACCATGCCACCTGCTGACACCCTTCCTTTTCTGTATATCCCTGTTTGACTGCTACTTGTTTAAGATTGTTCAAGCTCAAACATAACATTGCCTGAATGCCTGAAGCAGAATTAAAAACTGCTTTGTTAGCCTTTTGTTCATATACAGGAAACCCTCTCATAGATATAGTTTGGACCTATAGCAAAGCAATAAATTGAAAAAAGTTGGTTAAACATTGAATTGTACACTGTATTAGGATGAACTGTATGGTACATAAATTAAATCTAACAAGCACAGAAATGTTCAGCATCTTATATACTAAACACTTTTTGTTTATCCGTTGTTGTCTGTACCATAAATCTAGCTAGTTCAGTATTATGCCTACCCTCTGATAACCCCAGAATTGTTCTTTTCTTTTTTTAAAGCTTATTTTCTTCCATGAGAAAGAGGGGAAACAAACAAGCACACTTGATAGCTCTTGTCCTGGTATGATCCCCCCTGCTTGCCATCTTTCTAGGATCATAGACATGTGTGTGCATCCAACATTTTCCAGATTGACTCAAGATCCCAACCATGGTTTTCTGTATAGCATCAGCACTGCAGAGCAGTACCATATTGCCTTTGCCACCGTGGCTGCACCCTAAGTAAAGCTTTTTTTACAGATAAATCATTTAAACCAGAGGATAACGAAAAGTATGAAGTGAATATCTTTTCATTTTAACCTGAAATACCTGTATGCTCACTTGTCAATCTGTTGAGAAAGTCCTAGATTTTGTTCCTTTAATATGAAAATAACTTAAAAGTATTTGTGAAGCAGTCTGTATGCAGATTTCTTCTTTATAATCTTTTACAGTTATCTCACACACCTTTATTAGTTTTTTCCAAAATAGTAAACATAGATTTTAAAGAAACTACAAACTTCATTTCCATTTTATTTCATTGGTTTACATTATATTAAAGTTCTGAAAGTGCAGTATCAAGCACAGCTGGCATAAACAGGTTTGGGAACTAACATAAGTAACTCATGCTAAGATTGTATAATTCAACTAATAGGATCAGAAATAGGCAGACACATTGAGGAGTTTCCTATTATGAACACTCAGCATGATATGGGAATCAGCCCCTTATGATCTAAAAAAAAAATACTGATTAGAGGTTAAGTGTAGGTGGGCTAAGAAAATATCTACTGCACCTCTCCATTCTAATTGACTGCATGTCTTTTTTTCCTTGTAGAGAGCGTTTTGAAGGCAAAAACAGTGCTTGGCTCTAAAGGGAAA